TAGCTAGATGGAAATGATGCCTGTGGATATATTTTTGAACCAAAATCTGACCCAAGGTAGTCTACCTTTCAGTCTACTTAATACTCCTGCCAGAAAATTAAAAAGAAAATCAAACATTAATTAAAACAAAACAAAACAAAATAACATGGTACTTTCCTGCTTAAAAATGTTTCCACCACAACTCTACAGCCTGTCCCAGCAATTTGTAAACTTTTTAATCTCAGAATATAAAGCTCCTAGAAAGTGACAGCCAGAAGAAATCTTGTTTGTTCATGTTATATCTTTTGGCATTTATAATAGAATTAAAACTGAGAAAATTTAAAAATAGTTAATTCATTAAAATCCTTTTTAATATTTTTAAATCTTTTTAAATAGCTGGCTTAGTAGAGATGATAGCCAAATTCTCATATTGCTTCTGCATTTAATCTGCTGTGATTTGTTGCTTTGATTAAAAAACATTCCACAAAAATCTGTTCTTATCCAGAATTATAGGTGGGAAAGGAAGGAACAATCTAATAGCCTTTTAGATAACTGGATATTCTCCTTTAGTATTATACCAGAGCTTAACAAGTGTTAGTTTCTTAAAGGTTAGTTGCAATGTAGAATCTGAAACCATATGAATGACTTTTTGTACTCAGTTACATTGAAATGCACTGGTCTATACTGTAGTTTGAATGGATCTTTTACTAGCGCATAATTTTGTATTATTATGCAGGTGGTCATTTGGAAATTACTGATTTTCTGAGTTATGCAGATCCTCCAAGTGTTTCATTATATGATATTAAAAAACATGTTGCTACTTCCACCACCAATCTCATCTGGAAAGTGTCGTAAGTATTAGGAAGCTGTCAAGGTCAGCATCAGGCAAAAGTTTTCAAAAGTTCTTACTTTTGTTTGAAAGCTTGAGTTTTATCATTGACAACAAATATGATCAAGCTGTTTTCCTTGGAAGTAATACGTGCACTGTGTTCACTGTTAAGAAAATACCTGGCAAACACTTGTCTGAATAACTGTCACTGGTCTGCCTGCCATTCCTTTAAAGTAGTCCATGAAAGAGAGGGCTAGGTGAGCTTCCTAATTCACACTATCTCACAAGTGATTTTTCTTTAGTACATGCATCATACCTTGGTGTGCAGCCAAAGTCCTCCCGTTTCATCATGTAGAATTAAAAAAAAAGAGCAGTAACTCTAGGGTTGACATTCAATAAAATTTACTACCTCAAAAAGGGTATCCTTAAGAGAACTGATATTTTTCCTTTAAACTCCTATACAACATGGTGCCATGGCTTTGGCTTATGTAAGGTGCAAGTAATTAGGCCCCACAATTATTTCTGCACCATCAGTACAAAGGTCAACACAGTAAAGACAAATGTGTTTGTATTTTGGCTAGTCAGATTCCCATCACTGTGACAAAGTACCTGGCATAGTCAGCTTATAAGGAAGTAAGGTTTATTTGGCTCATAGTTTCAAAAGCATCAGTCTCTGGCTGCTTGCACCACTGCCTCCGGGCCTATGGTGAGGCTGCATGTCATGGCAGGCATGCACACAGAGGAAGCAAAGAGAGAAGAAAGGTCTGGGGCCAGTGACCTCACTTTCTCCCACCAGACCCCACTTCCAAGAGGCTCTGCCCCTCCCAGGAGCACTCTAGGCTGGTGAGCAAGCCTTTAGCGTTGGGCGTTTGGGTGACACTTGACACTTAAACTGTAGCAGCATTAAATTTGCATGGTTACTGTTTGACCTCACAGAGACCATACTTGAACTACTGTGCTTTTTGTTTTTAGCTTTTTAAATGTAAAATAATAACTGTATATATATGGGGCACAAAGTGATATTGAATTCATATATTAACAAATGTATTCACTGCAGAAAGAGAAAGAAAAATAACATAACCATCACCTCATCTGCTTATCATTCTTCTGTGATGATCTTCTATTCCTTCAGTAGTCTAGAAATACAAAATGCATCAACCATGGCCACCATGCTGTGCAGTGGACACAGTATAACTTTGTATCCTCTGACATCTCACTTTGCACAGCCCCCAGCACCCCAGCCTCTGATAATCACTGTCTACTCTATGAGCTCAACTGATTTAGAACAACACGGCTGTTCATTATCCTTTTCCAGCTACATCTTGCTTCTGTCTGCTCTGTTTCCATCTTCATCTCTGTGCCTTTAGCATTTATCACATTGAGGGCAGAAGGGCTACTACATCTCAAGGCACCCAATATGTGTCAGACTCAATGTGTGTGCTATGCCCATTGCATGCTTTCTCATTAAATCATCTAGTTAATTCTATGTGACTGGCATCATTTAGCCCAGTACACTGAAGGACCAGACAGATAGTCGAAGCTAAAGTTGAACCCAAGTCCATTATTTCAGCAGTGTCCTTGCCCCTATTGTTCCAGGACCTAATGGCATATACTAAATCCAAAAGAGTCAAATAAATGACTCTAAGTGCATAATGAAAGGCTCTATAAAGTCTCTTATGTCTCAGAGTCTGGGGTCTGGCCTTCAGTATTTCTTCATTCTTTATTCCTTATAGACAGTTTAGGTTTGGAAATTTCATATATAATATATGAAATTATAATTATAATTATAATATATGAAATTTCATATATATAATTTCTTCAAGCAGTGTGTTCCTAGCCGTGTGATGGTAATTTAATGATCACACTGCCATCAAGCCAGAAACACAAATGTTGACATTTGATTGTAGTGTTTTTCCTCTCAAGTTGCTTCAAGTAAATACCAATGGCATATCCAAGTAAATGAGGTAATTATTTAAAAAGCAAATTGTGTATTTTTTCAATATGCATATTCATGTTTTAAACTTTTCATAATGTTAAAAACAATACAAGAATAATTCTTTTTCTACTTAGTCTGGGTCATTATGAAGGGAGAAAATATAAATGTACCTCTAGGAACAGCTTTATCTTGGCTTTTCATAAATACTACAGCATGGATCTTTAGAATGATGGTGAGACAAGTGGTTTGAAAATGTAGCCCCAAGGACCAGGAGTCTCACCTGGAACCTGTTGGGAAGTTATCTAGAGAAACCAACACATCTTGGAAGAGATGACTGGCTCATGTATAATGAAATCTGTGAAATGTAAGCTGAATAGTTGGTAGTCTGCCATGCTCAGGGCCTGGGATGCCCCAGAGCCCACATATAGTGGCATGCAGTTAAAGGAGAGTCACATTTCACAAAAGAAAGGCCAAATCACTGCTGGGCTCTGCCTTCCAGGGTGAGACTAAATTCACCACAGCCATACTCAATTAGGAGTAAAGCCATTTATCAATCTGCAGGAACTGTCTGTCACCCCTCTTAGGTAAGTCCCAACTATGTGTGCAGTTTAAATTGCCTCTTTTCTAAATTAAAACAGGAGCTGGAAATACATGCATTTATTACTATAAGAGGATATCATCCTATCACTGAACATGTTAAAATGGAAAACACTCAACTATCATGACAAGACTATTCTTTCCAGAAATATGTTACCATTATTCTAGTTGCTTTATTACATGGATTTAAGGAAAACAGGAACTTGTCAACATTTTGACATATTTGGAGGTATGTAAAAAGGTTATTTTAGTAAGGAGTATATGTAAAACTTCCTGAAATTTTGCTAGGCAAGTGAAGGCATTAAAAGTTAACCTCACTTTTATTTATACTTTTCTGAAGAAAAACTGCTAAGAATCTACCCCATCAATTAGGGGTTGCTGGCTTTGCTAGAGAGAAAGCAGCCCAGGTAGAGAATGTTTACTATAAGCGAGGAGGGAGAAGGACTCAGAATCAGAAGAATGAAACATTCAGGGTATATTGTAGTTTAAAAATAAAATAAGTAGGAAGTATAAGGAAATCATCCTAAGTGTTACAAATGAGATAAATGTTCTTTGTTTTTAATGGAAGTTAATTAATTTTGCTTATAATACAAATGAGAAAGAAAAACAGGCTTCTTAAACTAAGTGTTGATGTGAATGACACACATAAATTAAAATATTTTTAATTTACTTTTGAATTTGTTTTTCTTCTGCAGTACTAGGGCTCAAATCCAGGGCCTCATGCATGCCAGGTAACTACTTTACCATTGTGCTACATCCCCAGCCCTTTGTTTGATCTTGTATTCATTAATAATGAAACGTTTTAGGAAGAAAACATTTTAGAGTAAAATATATCAGGGTATCAATTCCAGTTCTGACATACTAGCTCTGCAATTCTGGTCAATTCTTAACTGTCCTGATTTTCAGTTTCTTTTTCTAAAAACTAGTTAATTTATAGGGCTTCAGAAGGATTTGAGAGAAGTATCTGGAATGTGCCATGCACAGAGTAGGTGACCAATAAAAAGTTATTTGGGTATTAAAGAAAACTAATGCCTGAGACTCATGTGGATACATAATCTGCCTAGGCAAATGAGGGCTATACCATTCAGTCTCGCTCTCAAGAACCGACTTCTTTTTCTCCTACATACTAAGTGTCTTTAAACTACTTGTCCCCACTCCCCACAACACTTAAAGAGAGAACAGAAAGAGATAGCTATAAAAAACCAAATAGTCCCTTAAAGTAATACACATGGAGATAACACCTTGGTAAAAGCCAAAAAAGAACTGCTCGAAAGAGTTTCACTTCATTTACAGTGAGGGGAAAAGCATTCATTAGATTCTGTTTATTCTTCACACCATCACAGCATTTCAGGACAACGTATTATTTATTGCTATTACAGTGCTATGGATTTGCTTTTCTATGTTAAAGCCCTCTGCATTCACTGGAATGCAGCAGGCTGCTTTAGCTACAGAGCCAGGGCCATAAACCTTGTTCAATGCAATAAGATCACTTTAATAATATTCCAATCTTAGAATACAGTTATAAAGACGGATGATGGGCACAGAGTGCTACTTATATAAACAGAAATGGTTCTTGTGCAATCTTAAAAGATACTAAAAAACTTACACATGAAAATGTGTTTAAAGATTCCTCATATTCTGTCAGTCTGTTTTACATACCTGGGAACTTTTTCAGGAATCTGTGATGGAGAAGAATGACTATTTTTCTTCTTCTCTGAGTCCTGCAGCGACACACCCTCTGTTCTATCCTTCTCTGTGCCTGCAGTCTGCTCAGCCCCGACCTTGCTTTGTTCCACGCTGAGCTGGCCTTGGGCAGGGTCACACCTGTACATGAAGACAATGGATGGCTTCTCACTAGACTCTCCTTTTGCCTCTGTAAACCAATGATGGCGCTGAACGGGAGGAGGAGGAAGCATGTGGATGACCGTGCCATCCAGGCCCACCAGTTTTCCTTTCTCTCGCTCTTTCTCTTTGTCATCCTCCTCATCTGTTTTCCGGCGGCGGAAGAAACTTTTAAATGATATCCAGCGTTTAGGCTTTGCCTCTGCTGCCCGCCTGCTGCCTTCGGAGTGCAAAACAGATTCAGCTTCTGTGGATCTGGTGGGGCTAGTTGGCTTGGTCCAGTTGGTGAAATGCCTCTGCAGAAGGTTACTTGCATGGTAAGGGGAGGAAGTGGACCGTGGTGGGGGGAAGGGAGGCGGTGGCTCACTTTGGGGGCTGGTCACTAATTTGGATGTAGGAGAGGCGACAGGCTTTGCAAATAGGTCTTTCTGAACTTTGGTGCTGGGACTTTCTGTGGTCTGTGGTGCTTCGGCCTCAACTCCAGGCTGAGATGTAAAGAGAGACTTGGGCCGGACTGCTGTGCTCTTAGGTATGTTCTTGACAGCATTCGCATCGGGAGGGATGGCATAAAGCTCTTCCACACTGCAAGCCTTAGGGCCAGACTGGGGTGTTTCTGGAGGAGACTGGGGGGGCTGGATAGAAGCTACAATCTGTGAGAGCACGGTGCTTGCCTTCTCCCTGGTGCTGCCAGTGCTGCCTGGCATTTGAGACTCCTGTGTGCCTTCTGTTTTGGACACAGGCTCTTGAGTGGTTCTCTGGATTTTGGCTGGGGAGCTGTGGCTGGAACTATAGTTTCTCTGTGGCGAAGCCTGACCTCTGTTGAGACAGCTGTTAAACTCCTGAACCTTCTGAGCCACTGAGCCCTTTTTGCGCTCTGCACTGTTTGAAAACCCTTTAGCCTGGGGACTTTCAGTGGGTTTGCTAGTGGTGTTATCAGACGCTTGGCTTTCAGTCTCTATTTCTTCGTAAGTATGGCTTATTACACTTGTGGTTTTTTCCTTCACCGAGAGTTCTCCACTGGTTCCCAGAAAACTTCTGTAGATGGCTAGATTGTCATAGGCATTTGGATTAATAACAATGGGAACTTTAATAGCATTTTTGGAACTCCGGGCATAAGTTGGCTCATCATGAATGATAATTGGAAAAGGTGGCATACCAGCATTGTTGTAACTGTTAAATTTTATTTCAGACAAATTGGGCGACTTAACAGGGATAGTTTTGGAGGATATGTTTGTAGCTGTGGGTGAAGTTGGTGCTGATTTGTGACAGTTTTTCCTTGGAGGGACATTTAGTCCACTTCCGCCAGTAATTAATTCCACTTTAGGAATCTTTTGTCGTGGACTGGTGCTGGAAGTCCACACTTCCTGGTATCGGATTGCACTGGATTTTTGGAAATGGGCGCTTATTTGTCCTGGTGTCAATGCAGGTGACGTTACTGGAGAGTTTGGAGTGGAGGATGAGCTTTTGGTCTTAGGGCTGCTGACAGCACTCTCAAGGTGCTCACTGGCCATGGCTGCTGACACATCCACAACAGTATATGGCTTGCACAATGGCTGTTCCAGATTTACAACTCGGTAGGGCTTCGCTTGCTCTTCTACAGGGACGAGGTTTATGGTGACTGCTTGCCCAGCAATATCTGTAGAGGCTTTGCTTTCTTGCTTCTCAGTTTGTACAGCAATCTTGCCATCCTTCTCTTCTAATCGAAGAGCAAGGACTGCTTTGTGTGTCTCTGGTACTTTTACAGAGCTTTTGGAGGCCTGTGGCAAGTCCTTTTCCTGATTACTACCAGAGAGACTTTCATAATTTTCCTTTATGTCCTCAGACTCTCCAGGGTTACCAGGAGACACCCCTGCATTACAAATTTTCTGGGATAAACTACTAGCTGTCTCAGAACGTGATTCTTCTGTTAAAGAAGAATCAGGTGATGTGGAGTCCGAGGACACCATGCTCTGAACGCTTCCTTGTCCACAGGAGACTGCAGAATTTTCATTGTATCCATTCAGAATCTCATCATAGCTGTCATCATAGTCCACGGCACAAATTCTCTGCAGTGACTTATTTCGTAGGGGGATGGTATTCCATTTTTTGTCCACAAAGAATCGCACAGGAGACAAAGTGTTTGCCCTGAAGTTAGCAAAGCGAGGCTGCCCTCTCATGCGGATCTCCATGGCCAGCAGCTCCTCATCACTCTCATCCCAGCTCTCATGCTCCCCCTCCATGTTGCTGAAAAGAACGTCTTCCTCACTTTCCTCACCACTAGAGAACTCTGGGTAGCAGAAGCGGCCTCCTTCATTGCTGATGACTTCCGTGCTCCCACTCAGAATGACATGCTTGCCCTGAGAGTCCTTTATCCCACCCATCATACAGCTTGGTGGGAGCTTTCTTTCCAGTGAGCGTTTGTAGCAATCATTTATTCTTCCTAAGAAGGTTTCTCTGGAGTTTGTTTCATTTCCTCCTATCTGAGGGGTGGTATCCAGGCCTGCTATCTCCTTTAACACTTCAGTTAGTCCATTATTATTATTTGATACCTTCTTTGCGCTATCATTATTGTCATAAGGCTTAGGAACATGGCTAAATCCTTCAATATCATTTTCATTATTATTGTTAAGTGGTTTCTGACTCAAAGCAGCTCTGTTTCGGTTCCACCCCATGATGACAGGTTTGTTCTCACAGTGTTCTTGGATGCTAAGCTCACCACATACACTTTGCCCATCTGCCACCATCATAGTGGGCTTCACAGCTATGGTAGGTTTTTTGGCCACAGGAGGCCGGAAATTTCCGGTGTTCCTGATGCGGTGGTTGTTACTGTGATTGGCATTCGTTTTCACATTGCCATGGGTGGTGGATGCCTTCTCGGAGTCTGGGGGGAGCTGATGTAAGCTTTTAGGCTTAAAGCAATTCTTGCATTCACCCGGTTTCCAAACGTGTTCAGTAAAGGTGTTACAAGCAGACATTTTTAAAAATAGAACTTCACAGACAATGCTTTTCTTTCAGTGCATGGCAAAACCTTTATGTTACGTCTTCACCTCCTCTATGTGGTTATAGCAGCTCTTCTATGAATGATCAACCTATGGGAGAAAAAGAAGAAAAACACTGAATGGGAAAGGCACTCTGAGGTTTACCATCGTGAGTGACTTAAAAGTTCTGGCTTCTAATCTTACTTAAATGAAAAGATTGGAAAATAAACTGATTTGGAGTCTTTAGAATTTCCCTTTAGCCACTGCATGGAAAGTTAGCCTTTTAACTCTAATTTTTATATTATATGTTATATTCAGCACTGAGGACTGAGCCCAAGAGTACTCTTGCACTAAGCTATACCCATTGCTCTTTTTATTTATTTTTTATTCTGAGACAGGGCCTTGCTAAATTGCCCAGGCTTGCCTCCCGAGTAGCTGGGATTACAGGACTGTGACACCATGTCCCAAACCCTTGGAAATATACAGAATCTTTGCCATGACCTTCATCTCCTGGAAATGCCTTCCCTGCCCCTACATTCTAGGGATCAAACCCAGGGTCTCACTCATGGTAGGCAAATATTCTACCACTGAACTATCCCTACCCTGCCTGGAAATGTCTTTCATACCATTCTGTTTTCAACCAGTCTCTAACACTTCTTAGTCGTCTATGGTTCTTCTTCCACCCACTGTTAGAGTTTTAGACACTTCATAAACTCTTAAATTCAATGAATTCAAAATGAATCCTTCTCTTGCTATCCATTTCTCAACTCCAAGAGACTGATCTCTAAGCAGTCACATTGGAAGCAACCATCTTATTCTTTATCTTATATTTCAGTTAAGCAAAACCCTATCTCAAAAAAACAAAACAAAACAAAAGCCTTTAAGCCAGGCATGGTGGCACATGCCTGTAATCTCAGCACTTGGAAGGCTGAGGCAGGAGGATCACCGTGAGTTCAAGGCCAGCCTGGGCTACAAAGTGAGTTCAAGGCCAGCCTGAACTACATAGCGAAAGCCTGTCTAAAATATATATATATATATATATAAATTTCAGTTAATATCATTACTACCCACCTAGATAGCTAAGCTTCATCTACTTCTAACTCCAAAGTTTACTGCCAATTTTATAACATTACATTTCACTGGAACCCATTTTTGTCATTAACAGAAACTGTTAGTAGTTCAGATACTATCTCTTGCCTGGATTACTGCTAGGCTCCTAGCTGATCTCTGTGTTGTAATCTCACCCCACTCTAATCCATCCTTGATTCCCTTTGCTACTTAAAGTGTGGTTCTCAGTCAGGTAAGCAATACCAGCCTTTTCTGGGAACTTGTCAGAAATGCAGCTACCTTAGATCCAACCCCAGATCTACTAAATCAGAATTTGCATTTTAATCTCAGGTGACTCCATGGTCCTGCAATACTATCAGATTTAACTTTCTAAAAATACTAATACAATCATCTTATTAACAAGCTTAACTATTCTGTGGCTAAATTTTACCAAAGGTATTGGCTCTAAATGTCAGTGTGCCCAATGAGGACTGGCGCTAACTAAGAATCTCCTGGGGAACCATCATAGCCCTACCTAGTAAATCTCAGGGGGCAGAAATCCAAGAACCTGAATTTCTAACAAGTTCCCGGGGTGATTCTAAAGACAGTGAGGTGAATATCTGAATTTAAAAATGGGATGAAAGCCTTTAAGCCTTTTATGAGATGGTCCTTGCCTCCCCTTCCAGCCTCATATCTTGAAACCAACCAGTCTTATATGTTCTAAATCCCAGAGGGCTGCTCATTGCTCGTTAGATTACTGAAGCCCCTTAGCCATGGCTCCACAAACAAGCATCTTAGTTTTAATGGTCTGTTTTACCATTAGTTTTTGGCCTCCTTTAAGGCCTGAGCTGTGTCTTACTCATCTCTGTGAGCCTAGCATAATGAATAAACCTTGGTTTATTAAATGTACTGGTTTTAAGGTTTGTTTAAAACAATGAATCCTATGGCTCTCTCTCTCATCCTAAGCTTATAGCTGCAGACCTTTCCACAGAACACCAGTACAGTCCTATGTGTCTGCTTTGAATATTGTAATAAATTGGCAGTAGGCTTGTAAAAACTATTTTAATAGCTGGAAAGTTTAACTTCATCCATGTATAATGACAGTGACAGAATCCTTACTCTGGTCAGAAACCCAGACTGTTTTGCCAAGTTTCAGTATGTTTCTAAGGAATGAAAATATTTTCTTTAGCTAATATACATACAGTGAAGTCCCTCATAACCAATAGTTCTAAAGCATTTTGCTTTAGTGGAAGACTTATAGATTTAGGGACCAAAGAAATATAAAGGCGCCAGTGACTCAGTAAAGTTAAAACACATTCCTCGATTGTGTTTGGAAATATTTGTCTACCCTTTAAGATAGTCTAATAGTTATACCCTTTAGTAGACAAACCATTTCTTCCTTGTCTGGGACTGGAACAGTGTGAGTGAGGGGAAGAGTGGCACAAAATTCAGCTGAAAAAGAGAAAAGGGGCCCGATTCCAGACAGCCTTCAGATTATAGACTTCAGAGCAGTAAGAAGCCATATATGGGTTCTGAATAGGGGAAACAACAGGATACAATCTACATTTTTAAACAGACCTTTCTAGCCAGAAAACGTGAAATAGGTATAAATCTAACAAAATATGTGCAAAAGCCAAGATCAATATGGGCAAAAATACAAAACACTGATATAAGAATCAGAGAAAACCTAAATAAATGCAGAGATTTACCAAGTTCTTTTGATACTAAGATAGCAATCCCCACCCCCAACAATGTTCTCTAGCTTCAACATAATTATAATCACCATCAGAGCTGGATTTTTGTATAAGCTGATTTTGAAATTTATATAGAAAGGTAGAGAAACAATTTTTAAAAAGAACAAGTTGGAAAACTGACACTATCTGATTTTAAGATTTAGTATAAAACTACAGTAATCCTGACAGTGTGGTTTTGGTGAAAGGACAGAAACGTAGATGGGGGAGAGAGAGGGGTGAGTGGTAGGGTGAGCAAATTATAGCTCCCAGGCCAAATCTAGCCCTGGTTTTTGTATCCTAACCTGAGATTACTTTTGATGATTTTAAACATTAAAACAAATCAAAAGAAGAATATTTTATGGTAAGTAAAAATGATATGAAATTGCAATAGTTACTCCCCTTTGTTTACATATTGTCTATGGCTGCTTTTGTGCTACAATGGAGAGTTAAGGAGGTATGATAGAGATTGCTTTGCAGTGGTTTTTGGCACTCTACAAAGCACAGTTTCCACAGGTACATGTATCACCTGTGTGAAAAGACATTTTTCAAAGCTAAACTATATATGATTCCATTACAGACATGCATTAATAGATGAACATTTATAATCCTTCTTGTTTTGTTTTGTTTTGTTTTTTGAGACAGGCTCTCACTATGTAGTTCAGCCTGGCCTTGAACTCACTATGTAGCCCAGACTGGCCTCAACTTTAAGGTAATCCTCCTGCCTCAGCCTCTCATATGCTAGCATTACAGGTGTGTGCCACCACGCCTGGGTATAATCAAATTTTTTTTCAAAGTGTTTGGGATTTACATTTGAAAAAATTAGGTTAGAGTCTTTTTATATCATGCACAAAATTTTAAGAAATAGTGTAAAAGTTATAGAATAAAATAAATAAATTTCTATATATTCTTGAGGGTGGAAAAAATACCTTTTTCTTGGTTCTTTTTGGCTATAATCCATTTTGATGGGAAGAAACACTAATTTTGAATCTAATTAAGTAAAATGTTATTCATCTCCCAAAAAAGAAATTCCACTCTCCTTCCTGTTACAAAAATTGTACCTCAATTATGTTTTGAATTTCACCAAGAAAAATTGTAGAAATTTATCCTCTCTTGTTATACAAGTACCTAAATAATAACTTTCACTTTGCCTTTTGACTGCAAAATCTAAAATATTTGCTCTGATCCTTTACAGAAAATGTTTGCTGGGGCTGGGGATTTAGCTCAGCGGCAAAGCGCCTGCCTGGCAAGCGCAAGGTCGTGAGTTCGGTTCCCGGTACTGGAGAAAAACAAACAAACAAACAAACAAAAAATGTTTGCTGCTGTCCTCTGATGGAGCAGAGCAGGATAGAGTCTGGAAACATCCACACAAACACAGTCAACTAATTCTGGACAAACGTGAAAAAGATAGTCTTTTTCAGCAGTAAAACTGGATAGTTATAGGTAACAAAATGAACCTCTACCTTGATCTGTACCTCCCACCATACATGAATTAACTAAAACCACACCATACATGAACTAACTAAAAAATATGCTTATACAACTTAGAAGAAAAATGAAGGACCTTTGTGATCTCAGGTTGGACAGAGTCTGCAGATACAGAACCAAACATAGGAAAGAATAAACTCATAGTTTGAACGTCGCCAAAATGGAAATGTTTGCCCTGCCAAAGATACTAGCAACAGACGAGGAGATTTTTTTTTTTGTTTTTTTTTTTTTTTTGCAAAGTACATTTATCTAAGGACTTTGTATCTAGACTAAGAATTTTTCAAACTCAGAAAAGGAAGTAATTCCAATAAAAAAACAGGTAAAATATTTGAGCAGATGTTTTACCAAAGACATATAAACAGTATACAAAAATGTGAGAGATTCTAAATATCATTAGTTATATAGAAATGCAAATTGAAGCTACGTGGAGCTACCACTACACATTTATTGGAACGATTAAAGCAAAACCAAAACAAAAATCTGGCTGGTGCTCCCAGGGATATGGAGCAGTTCTTACAATGTGTATCGCTGGTGGGAATTCAAACAGTTCAGGCGCTCTGGAAAAGAGTTTGGCAGTTTCTCATAAAGTTAAATATAAACTTGCATCCTAGCAATCCCAATCCTAGGTATTTACTCAAGATAAAGGAAAATTTCTTTTTACACTAAAAACTTTTTACAGTACACAAAGGTTTACAGACAAAAACTGGAGACAATGCAAATGTTGTGTGGTTATACTGCATGTGTCTGTCATAACTCATAGAAGTACACTCTAAAGAAGGTGAACTTCACTACTGTATATGTAAGCAAAGCTTGAGAAAAGCTGATTTGCAAAAGAGAGCTTTGGAAGCTACATAGAAAATGAACTTCAGAGATGGGACAGGAGGCAAACAGACTGTTTACAGGCCTGACAGGGCAAATTAGGGTCTGATGAAGATTCGCATTAGGATGTATCTTCAAGGAAGGCAGAGAAAGATAGATTTAATTTTTAGTTTTTAAAAAATTTTATTTTAGTTTGTGAGACAGGGTCTCACTCCGTAATTCAGACTGAGATGAATTTACTATGAACTCACTATGTAGCCCAGGCTGCCCTTGAACTTGCAGTGATCCTCCTGCCTCAGCCTCCCAACTGCTAGGATTACAGGAGTTGCTACCATGCCCTGTGAGAAAGGTAGATTTAAGAATGACTGGAATTGGAGAGAGTACAGGTGTTGAGGCTTTCAGTTTATGTGTTCCGATGATGTATGGAGCCATTTACTGAGACAGACAACACTGAAGGAGGAAAAGATCCTAAATTCATACTTTGTAAGCCAGCAAAAAACAGAGTAGGCAGTTGAATTCAAGAATTTGGGACACAGAAGAGAATTTCATTGGTTCTCACCTGTTTGGGAATTACAATCAGGGAAACATGTAGGCCAAACAGAAAACAGAGCATGAGATGGGCAGGGCGTTAGTGGGTAAATCCAGGAGAAGAGAACTCCCCTGCAAGAATAATAAAGTAACAGCTATGGTATGATGAGACAGAAAGAAGAGGAAGAAATATTATCTAAGAGGGAAGGGGACAATTTCTTAACCTAAGAGTTTGTTAATCAAGTTAAACTCATCCTTGATAAGGAATTAAGTTCCTTCTTTACAAGTAATATTTCTTTTTCCAAGACTGATAAATATGAAAAATAACACCCCAATTTGAGTGTAAGTTAATTCAGTCCAAAGGTGGCTGCTGAGTTGATCAGCAGCTATCATATTATCAACAGCATTGCCAAACAAGATTCCACAGGAACACAGCCCGAGCCAGTGCTGAGCGGGGAAACTCACCTTGGCTCTGACACCTCTACCAGTTCCATGCACATTTGTATTCATGCTGCCGCCCCAGGAGGTGAACCAAGCAAACACCTTCAGCAAGCACCAGATGGAGCTGCTGTCTAAGCCACAAACCTGAACTCTGAGGGCTTCATTTCAACACTAATTAGGTATGGAGACATGTGAGGACACTGTCAAAACTATTCTAACTTCTAACAGGCTCTTCAAGAGAGAAGCTGTACCAGATGCAGATCTGTCTAAAGAGCAAGCTCTGGGCTTTACAGCCTATGTGAAATGACTCCAGGGTAATCAATAACTTGCAGCTTTCCCTGCTCAATTCTGACACTCCCCAAACGGGAAACTCGAGTCACTAGAGTTGTGCTTGAGAAATAAGACACGTGTCTCCTGAGGCACTTACACAGGAAGTCTAACAGCCCCTGCCAGTCCTCCTCCTTATTTTCCAGAACAGGTGTGATACAGAGCACCCAAATGGAATGTCCGCTAAGAAAGCTCATCTGCTCCTTATAATTTCCAAGCAGATCCCCCAGATGAAAAGGTCTATAGGAGAGTATAATAGCTGAAGCTGCCCTACTAGCAAGCGAGGATGTCATGATCTAAAGTCCTATTTCATATTTGACAGTTTCCAGGACCAGGCCCTCCAGGCTTTGGATAAAGCTATTCAAGAGTAACCTATTTCCCTTCAAGTTGTGACAGCCTTTTAAAAACCCGTTACTGTTTTTACTCTGTTGCTGTACAGTGATAATTAGTTCGCTACTTGTCCAACAGTTTCAAGTAGATTTGATACAAAACAACCAAATTCAAACCTGATCCCAATCTTGAAACTGGTCAGCTGAAGAAGCTGGAGTTCCTCAAACTAAATACAATTCTCTTTCCTGAACAGGGTGTGTGGAAGTCGTCTGTTAAACCCCACACAGACAGCAATCCCTAAAGACACCCAAGGAGAATCTGTTCACCAGAAAGGAGGACAGAGCTCCTCCAACTCTACAACTCCTGAAGGCCATTATCTCTCTCCACAAAATCTGCCGTGTCCTTGCAGGCAGAGTCAGGAATCCTCACTGCTGCCCTTGGGCTTTTAGGGACACTCACTGAGGAACTATCTTCCATATGTCATGCACACAGTAGTCCGTCTCCAGGATGTGAGTGTAAAATTTACAAGCCAAGGTTCTCTCACTGGGTTTTTGTAATGGAACGTGTAGGTCACTTGTATAAAAAAGCAAAGGAAAATGTGACAAATATGCCCACGTCATTGTTCCCAACCTTTCCTCTTCCACAGTGAAAAACGCTGACCTGACACCTCGACCAGTTGCCAAAGCCTTCGGTACATGACTAAAAGGGCGGGGAGAGGAAGCGAAAGCAAAGCTGCAGGAAGAGGTTTTGCAGAAGATAACATACAAATTTAATTTGGTACACAAATGGAAATTCCATGAGTAGGAAAGAATCTTCTTGAGTTCAGACAAAAAAAAAAAAAAAAATTCCTTGCTATCACTAAACAGGCAAGATTTTAAGACATGAGGTCCTTGTCTAAATAAGAAACCAAAGTAAAACTTGTTTAACTATGAAAATCTAATAAAAGCTCTCTTAAAAGGCGAAGCCCTTTTGTTCTAACCACATAAGTTTTCTGTCATAATTTACTGTTCCTGTCACATGGTAGTCATCTCAGGGGAGGAATTGTGCAACAGTAAGTGTGCCATGGCACAGCAGCACCCCTCGGTTCCCAGCTTGCTTTTTAAGTTTAAATTCTTTGATGAAGCAGTTAATACTCTTCCTAGTTATTACTATATGTTCCAAAACGTTTTCTGAGCCCATCTCAGCCTCCTGCTTAGAAAGGTATCCACAGGAGAAGAGGTTAAATGTTATCTAACAGCATAAGAGTCCACAGTCTCTCAAGTGTATTGTGTTCATAATGCGTTTCTTCAGTTTGGAATGTGGCTCCTCTAATTCTGTTCCAGGTGGCAAAACTCTGTTTGTCCTTCATGATCCAGTTCAAGCTTTAGCTCTGTCATGAAGATCTCCTGACTCCCTAAATTCTTTATTGTAATACCACATTGTATTTGTAATCATGTAAGTTCCGATAAGGCAGGGCTATATCATTTTCATCTCTTTATCTCTTGGACTGCTTGGAACACAGTGCATACTAAATAAGTGCTTGCTGACTACAAAGTACCAGGCATTCTTTGAAGAAATTTACACAGGAAAACTGTTCACTTTCACGGAAACTCTGTGATGTACATACTACTTTACAGACGAAGAAACTGGAACTTTCCACGGAGTGTAGGTCTGTATAAATGGCAGAGCTCAGCCATCCTGGAATCTGGATGCTGCTTTACACATGCTGTGGCAGCCAAAAGAGGCCCACTCAGCAGCAGCTGCACTGCCCAGCACAGGGGACTTCACTGTGAACGCAGAATTCCAAGTAGATACACACACGTTCCCCAGCTCAGCCCAGAGATGGGTAGGTCCACATGCTTATTGTAAAACAAGGCAAAGTAAATAGGCACCATGCTAATAGCTACCCCTAAATTGTGCTTTTGTGCTTTAGGGTGTTGAGGGGATGAATAGGATCTGGCAAATCAAGCTTGATCTTCTGTCTGGTGTGGCCCAAGTCAGGAGCCACCCTGCTTTGGAGAGGCCATTGAGATGGCTGGTTTAGAGTGAGGGATGAGATGCTGCTAGAACTCACCTCACTGCATTCCTACTTTCCACTGCCCCTAACCTCAGAGCCAGCTCTCAAGTGAAGAAAGTTGGGCTAAAGACTAAATTAAGCCATCACAGCTCACTGAAATGTGAGAAGAGAGGTCACCTCTGCATTAAGGAAGGGGAATAAGAAAAAAGGGAAGTAAGGGGAGTGTACGACTCAAAGGAAGAAAAAGAGAAAGGAGAAAAGGAAATTGGGAAGGAAACAGAAATATGAAAACGATCAATTATTCTGAAGAAGAGACCACTTGAATGTTTATGGCAACATAATGAGACAAATGCCATTGTAACTCTTCACTGTTTTTACAGAGTTTATTGTCTTGTATGACTAGTACTTTTGGTAGAAGGTATTCTTTTTCCAGTTAAACTGAAATTTACCTTCTCCAGCTACAGAAAAGAGTAAGCAATAATACTGTAAAACATTTATCATTTAGACTTGTAAAGGGACTAATACATCTAAATTTATGAAAGACTAAATTATACAACACTTTGAAGAAATATAGAGTTATTGCTTGAAGAAAATATCATAACAAACTAGTCTTTTCTTATAAAGGTATTTGGTTTTTTTGGTTTTTCTCCAGTACCGGGAATCGAACTCATGACCTTGAGCTTGCCAGGCAGATGCTGTGCCACTGAGCTAAATCCCCAGCCCCTATAAAGGTATTTGGAAGACCTAGTTTAATAAATACATAGGAATTATTTTTGTAACGGTTATAAATACATAATGGCTTTAAAATACATTAAAAGAAAAATTTTCAAACTGGGATCCGGGATGCATTCTCAAGGGTCTATGAGTTATTCAAAAGTGCTTAAAACAAAGTTTTTATCTATAATAAATTAATATAAACATATGCTGGATCATTACCATGGCCACTTATTAACTAAGCACAGCATTTTGACTTCCATATGTTTCTAATCCAAGCTAACATCAAATACACCACTTTAATTTTAAGAAATAATAAAAAGGATGCTCACTTAATATGTAAATGATTGAGTCCCACCAAGCGAAAGCCAAAATGACACCATGATGCAATCACTGCGTACTGTTCCAATCCTGGGCTGTCAATATCCTAGAAGGAAAGATAGTGCAAGAAGAGACTCAATGATAATGCAAGCAATAAAGGAAATTAGAGTGGCAGGCAGCTCCACATGCACACTGTAAGTAGCAATTTGCTTTCAGTAAAACACCATTTATTATATTATATTAACCTTATTTTGCACTTAATTTGTTTTATAGGATTTTGTACTTCAAATCTGTTTTGGCTTATAACTAAATGAGAAGTATAAATATGAGAAATTTATACCTAATTTTATGTTTGTTTGTATTTAAGTAAAATTATAGTCATGTGTGTCAACACTGAGAGACTGCAATTATTTTTTCAATTAAAAAGGGCCTATGAATTACTAAAGTTTGAAAAGTAGTGCTTAAAAACAATATTCTCTTATGTCAGGTAAGCATTTCTTCTGTGATATTATTTACATTATTAATTTGCTAAGTATCTGTTAAAGGAGTATAACTATTTTACAGAGCAGTTAGGGAAATGGAGACAAAATATATAAAGTGCCTAACTTTGAGGTTGACTCATATTGGGCAGCTGATAAATACTACGTGTTTTTTTGGTTATTAAATCTCTATATCCATAGAACAATGGGAAGGGACTGCTCTCTTCCAATCCCCTTGACGTACACCCATGCCCCATCTTGATGAACCAACAGGGCATCTGGGAGGCTATTTCTATGGAAACACTGTTAACTATGCAGGGTAGGCTTCGGTGATCGCGGAGGGTTTAATTTAAAGTTTCAGCTGGCTTGTTAGCCTATTTTCCATGTACTGCTTCCACATGGAAAATGTAACCTAAGTTCTGAGAGACTGCCTTGCAAAGAAACTCTAGCATCCCATCTTGGACTTGGGGTTTGTGTCAGTTTTAAGAAATGCTGTCAGAATATGTCAGCAAGGAGTTGCTGACCGACAGGGTAATATAACTTACGCTTCAAGAATTCAGGTGAAAATGGAAAGAATACACTGACAAGAGGCAAGGCTACAGGCAATGTGTGTTAGTTGAACTATTACAATACTATGCTAGACAAACCCTTGAACTAATGTAGAGGAAGTGGAAATTAACAGACAAGTGCTCATTTGAGAGACCAAATGTGTAAGATTCAACCACCAGTGGGAACTGGGGAAGAAGGACTGAGGACGACCATGGATTCTCTCTAGATCAGGACCTAGGAAGAAGCCAGGCATGGTGGTACATACCTGCAATCCCAGTGTTTGGGAGGTTGAGACAGGACTGCTGTGAATTCAAGGCTAGCCAGGGCTACCTAGTGAGTTCAAGGCCAGTTTAAAATGTAGCAAGACTTTGCCTCAAAAAACAGACAACAATAACAACCACAAACAAACCAATCCAGAAAGATCTTCCCTACAGGCATAGTACTGAAATGTGGATAATCAAGCTAGCATCAATTGTACTACTTTAACTATAGAAAATAATGAAAACAGAAACATAAAAAAAAAAACCGAGGTCTGACGGAAATAGCAAATACATTCTAAAACCAAGTATGTGCTTAAAAATTCTTTCCACTTGGAAATATCTGTATCTTTCATCGCTATTTTCTCATATAAACTAGATGCTAAACCTTGAGTGCAAATGGTTTGGGGAGATAAGTACAAAAGATGCAGGATGCTATAGTGGATGGGAGGAAAAATGAAAAAGGTAAAGTGAAAATCCTCGTGTTAGCTGTATTTCTTCACAGGATAAAGGCCCAAAAATAAAACTTGGGGTGAGTGACTGTTATGGTTTGTGTCTACATGTCTCCCCAAAAGCTTCATGTAGTCATAGGTGGGGCTTTTCAGAAGTGGCTAGATCTAGAATATATGGTGCTGGGATTAAGGGTATATAACTACTAAATTAGTTCACTAATTAGTTTGGCATAGTTCTGGGAATGGATAATGGGTAGCACTCACCCTGGGTGTGAGTGCTACCTACTTTCAGGGTATGTAGCCTGGATAAAATATAAGGGACAGAAAGAGGGCTGCTGTGGCCACTTGACACTTGCAACTTTGCTGCCTTCTGCCTGCCATGAACTGTTTCTCCTCTGTGATGACCCTCTGCCATACCACCTTCCTCAGAGCCAGCTGAATACAGCTTGAAATCTCCATAAACTGAGCTGAAAAAGAAACCTTTTCTCTTTTAACTTTAGGTACCTGATATTTTGTCTCAGCAATAAGAAAAGTAACTAAGACAGTAACTTCACTGACAGGACCAGTGACAGAACATGAAGGACAAAAGTGGCCAGCAGATCAACACCACAGATGGACTGTTCTCCAGAAGACAGAAGGAGCTGGGCTCTGGCAGTGGCTAGATATCAATACCCAAGGAGCCAAATCATGATTTGATGGAGGAAAAGGTAAATCAGCTCCAAAGAAATCATGGTGGTTCTTTATTCCCAGTGAAGGTACCTGCCTTGGTCTCTATCACTGGGCTATGAACAACAGCCAAAACTCTTTTTTTTTGAAGTGTCAAGCTTTATTATTCCTCGGCTCTGTCCCCCTCCTGCTGCCCCAGCAGTGGGGCTAGCTAGGGCTCTGCGCCCAGGGCCTGGGCCTCCTTCGCCTTTTTCAGCGCATGCTGGAGCTCGGCCTGGACACTACATAAGCCTTTGGCTTCATGGACATGGAAGAGGAAAACTGCGCCTGCCTCTAACACGAGTCCTACAGTGGGGCTCCAGAACAGTATAGCTACTTCCCTGGCCCCTTCCCCTGCTGCCAGAACACACAGTAACATCAGCAGAAGCAGCCCCAGGCCAATCACATAGCCAGCAAAGGCAATCCACCAGCGAACTCGAGCGATGCCCAGCCCCATCTCCATCCAGGCGTCCCTCAGCACTCTGATCAGTGATGACTTCTCTGCTGGGCCGTGGGGAGGGCTGAGGCTGTGCTGAGGGGGGCCGTGCCTCACATACAAAGTTGGAAAGTGACAAGGAGAGATGCAGCTCATTTCTGAGCAAGTGCTAGGCCCTGATAACACTTCTACTTCTGTTGTGCCCACCCACCAAGTAGGAGAATCCTCACAGGACAAAGGAATAACACGTGAGGCCATTATTAACTGCATGTGTAAGTTTATATACATCACTGAAATTCTCTAAGCTTTATAATCCTTATCTACCTTTTAATGTGAAAATGACTAATTCTTTATATTCTAAAAGTAATCAGAAAACAAAGATATGCAACAAGTGTCCCCTGACTATGCACCCTGCTGGGTCTTTTTCTATACCCAGATCAAGGGGTTCACCCAGAGACATACAGATGTATGCAGCACAGCAAATATATTCTCGGGCAATACAAATAAATCTTTCTCAAAATTACAATCTATTCTAAACATCACATAAGTGCAAATTTGTGTTAAAACTTCTGAATTATTCACACAAATTTAGCAACACAACAACCAGAGTCCTTTAGTAACCTCAAATGATTAAAAATATTTCCCACAGATAATAAAGAAACAACTCTTTTCTGTAGAAATCTGGCAAGATCACCTGCTCAGGGGACAGCTAAAAATTAGACAAAGTAAGAAAGGACCTTTCAGTATCTCATTTACAGATTCTTACTCTTGTTTTGCATACAATTTTAGTTTGATCAATAAGTTAGTTGTACTGATGCTGTCTGTACAAAATAAGGATGAATGTTCCACTTAAAGTATAAAGAATTACAGCTGTCTCATGCAGCCCTACCCACTCTACTCTGACCCCACTGAGATAAAACTTTGAGTGGAGATACATGCATTTCACTGCTCTTTCAAAGGGTGTCCAAATGTCCTTTCCACAATTAACTTTTTATAAGACACTCTTTCTATCCTATATTCTGTGATTTTGCCTATTCACAAATAGTTCGGGGCAGAATAACTTCCCAAAGCCATACCTCTTACTCTTGACTTTAGACTCTAGACTTCTGTTTGTAGCTGTTTACTAGACTTCATACATAACTAGTTATTATTCCTCCAAAATATTCTCGATCTTTTTCTGGGTACCAATGCAATGAATGGTATCACAAACATGGCAGCATTCTGGGGTCAGCTCTGACTCTCTTTGGTCCCTTTCTGCTATATCCAATGAATTGCCAGGTCTTCCCTCTCTAATCTATCCTTTCTCTTTGATCCTTCAAGGCATAATTTGAGTTCTGGATTTCATTGTTCTTTGAAATACTGAAATGCTACATTGTTATTTCCTAATTCCTCTAAAATAAAGGTCTTTAATATTTTGCTTCTTTGTAAAACTATGAGAAGTTCTTGGGTGGCTATATAATACATTTGAACTCAGAATTAAATGTAATGCTCATTGTGAACTGATTCTATCGTTCCATTTTTAATTTTATTTTTATTAATACACATTTGCAGTATATAATGGTTACAGTCATCTTAGGGATTAGGCACATGTACATAAATACCTTAATTTTTCTTACTCCTCTTCCCTCTCTGTCTTTAGATCCCCTTCCCACATTTTTTTTTAGCTCATATTTGCAACACATGATTACATTCATTGTCAGTAGTTGGTACATGTACACAACACATCTCAATTCTTTCCATGTCCTCCCTTCTACCCACCCTTTATCTCTTGGTTCGCTTCCCATTTGCAAAAGATCTGTCTTCCTGTTTCTTTTTCCCTGTCCTTGATTTATTCTTCATTTATACTTTGGATCTCTCATATGAGAGAAACCATATATTATTTAAGCTTATATGTCTAATGTATTTCACTTAACATTATATGTAACAAATTCAAAAAATTGGACCTTCCTTAAATAAAAGATCCATTCAAAAAATGGGAAAGTGAAATGAACAAACACCTCTCAGAAGAGGAAATACAAATGGCCAATAACTATATAAAAAAAAATGGTCAACATCGTTGGCCATTAGACAAATACAATTAAAAGGACACTAAAATTTCATGTTACAACAGAAAGAACTGCCATCATCTAAAAATCAAATAACAAATGCGGGTGAGGCTACAGAGGAAAAACGAACCCTATACATTGCTGGTGGGAATGTAAACTAGTGCAACCATTATGAAAATCAGT